GAAGAACAATGGCATAAATGGCAATATGATATGCTTATTTTTGAGGCTTAGTATTCTAAGTTTTGACAATAACAAGATTATAAATTACTGAAAAAAATGAACTTCATAGCTGAGATGCTGACATAATTCTAATCAGATTAGTAATACTTTTGCTATAATCCATGATGCTAGATACAAAAATGTCATTTCTAAGTTTTAGAACAGTTGGCCTTCTAGTTAACTATGAGAGGAGTTGACACAAATTATGTTGACTTGACCTGACTTTAATAGCAGGTAGTTATCCCCATAGTGCGATTGCTGTCTGTAAACAGTAAAAATTACTATAAAAATATATCTCATCAGTCTGAAACCTTAATTGGGAGCCAATCTCTTCTATTACACAAAGCCATTTGTGTGTGTGTGTGTGTGTGTGTGTGTAAAACAGAAATAAGCATTTGATGACATATTGCAGCTTTCTTAGGTTAAACTTTTTTTATTATAGTAACATATCAGAGTAATTGAAATAACTTCACCATACAGATATCACATGCTGGAGCATGACAATGCAACGCTAATTGCACACTGTATTGACATTTCAAGCATATTTTCTGTAACATTTGCATTCATATACAGGTAGTAAAGCACATGGGGATAATTTGAGTCATGATTCATGTTAGCAAATGTATGGCTTTCAAGCTAATCCTCATACCCAGAATCTGCAGCAAAACCATTAATATTCAGATATTGTAGCATGTACATTAGTTATTATATGAAATGATTAGCTCAGGACCCAAGAATTGCTGTTAGCCTTTGAAACAGAAATATCAGTGTTATCTCATTACTTTTGTAAGGTAAGCCTTATTACTAATTTAGGAACTATTGGTCCATTGATTATAGCTGTAGATAATACAGCACAGTTAATGTAGAATGTGTAACTTGAGTAATTTTCCCTCAATATACAATACATCCCTTTATGATGAGGCCCCAAAAGCACCAAAAAATGGCAGCAATCTCCAAGTGTGCAGTAAATTTTAATATACCAATTTTGGTTGCAAGACTTATTTGTAGCCATGTAACTTGCTTTATATGGATCCAGACAATAAATGTTTTTTTAGGCATAGAGACTTCAACCTGGTTCTTAAAAATAATCTCAGCAGACAAACTGAACTTGATGCAACAACATATTTTATGTTTTATTATTGCTGAGGCAAAACCACACCACCATAAAATGCAATGAAAACCAATGTTTAAAAGGCAGGATTTCTCGTTTCTTGAGGCTTTGTTAATACAAAGATCAAAATTTCACCTTTGAACTAAAAAAGAAATAAAGAAAGAATAGGCAGTGTAAGTAACAAAATTGTCATCATGAATATATTTCTAAATTTTTATTTATTTGTAAGTCAACATTAGACCAAAATATTTAGATAACTAATATGGCCCTTGAAAACTTAAATTTCTTGAGAGAAAAGCAAATTTTCAAAAAATCATCAGATAATAAGAACACAATTAATTGTACAGGTATACGTTTTATTATTTAACCCCTATGACCATGTAAACTAAGACTCAAAGTTTAAATTAGCATTACAGAAAAGGAAAGGAAAGTCTTCTGTCACTCTTGAGGTATTTACTATTTTTTTAAAGAATATACATTTAAGAATGAATCAATCTTTTATAGAAAATCAAATAATGGCATTTCTGCAGCTATCAATTTTTTGATACTTTTGAAAAAGTCGAGTAATGTATATGTTTAGATCTAAATAAATTTTTTAAACTATTAGTACTTTGACATGCTAAAGAAGAAAGTATTTGGATTAATTATTAAAACATCTGAAATTTCAAGTTAGATACAAAACTCCATACTCATATATTTTACAAATTAAAAAGACACTTAAAATGAAATCTTTTTATTGATGTCTAGAAGCTACTATTATCTAGTTGGGTGTAACTATTAGATGAAAAGAAGTTTAGGTTTCTTCATTTGGGTTTGCTTTAGTTTTAGGGAGGAAGAAATAGTTGAAACTGTTTGTGTATTTAGACATAATTTTGACATATGATAAAATTTGTATAGATCTTTGCATCTTACAGAAAACCAAGGACATTCAACCATGTTCTAGGCAGAGTTACCATTGCCATTTCCATATTTGATCCTGTTACAACTTCATTTTTACATTTTTAAGGTAAATGCAATGCTACTAACATAAAAATTTGTTGCTAGTAAAATTAATCAAAATATGAATAACAGTAGTTCCTTCAATATAATAGAGCAAATGGTAACTAATCTACAATGCTGAATTATTCAAGTGAAAACTAATTTGCAGTCTCAGACTACGTTTGTAGGTGATGATTTAAAATAAAAAAGGTTGTTTCTTAGACAATTCTAGAAATTATTCAAATATTGCACAGTTCTAGAAAGCATTCCAATCTTAGATTTACTGAATGAGCAGGGATATGTTTTTCTACAGCAGAATGAAAATATGCTTTCATTGTAAGTAAACCCAGTTCCCCTATTAAAAACCTCTGATAAGATTAAAGTTTTTGGAGTTTTCAGATAAAGCTATTTTCTCTCCTAGAAGAGGGAGTCACACCTGTACTATCACTTATGCTGATGTTTTAACCTATGAATAAAAATTTATAATAAAAACTGGGGAATATTTTACACCTCTAAATCATTTCCATGGCCTCTCGAGACTTCCATGGTTTATTGTTGTGTCTTCTCTTCTTAGTTGCTCATTAGGGAATAGCACTACAGCAGACACAGTACATAGCATACCAGGTAGTATATATAAATAATGAACACAAGGCTTTTATTCACAACTTCATCATATCAAAATACATCAGTCTAAATAGGAAAATGAAGGCAATAAAATTGTAATGCTCAAAGTAAGTCCAGACATAAGTAGCTAGAGAAATGAAATTTATTTGTTGAAATCAATTTGTGGGGTACTTCCACACATTTAAATTTACTCAGTTTTAAAATTGTGTGTGTATGTGTGTGTGTGTTTTCTCGGAAGAGTATTTCTCCTAGTGATGGGCGTTCTTATTTTTTGTTTTAAATAAAGATTTTGCTCTGGTACAAAAGTTGCAAAGCACACACTCCAGCAAATTAAGTAACTATTTGTGATTTAAGATAATGCAAATGAGTGACCAACAAACTGGGCTGTTATCATATATCAGACACTTAAAGTTATATATATATTTTTTGTGGCCATATGAATTTAAAAGAAAAATGAACTCCATGAAAAGACTTATTACTTGTTGATCATTCTTATGGATCATTCGGTAATATCCCAATTTTTACATGATTTTTTCTAAAAAAATCCATAACATATTTAAGAATTCACAAAATGGAGTCATAAACAGTGTAGTCACTGTAATTTCCTTCATTCTGATACCCTTATCCTCTTCTTCCACAATAGCAAATTATTCTTTGGGACGCATGCAGAGAGGAAAAGTATCTACCAAATGTGGATGTTAGGTAGTAATAAAGAATCAAGTAGCTAGCAGTAATTTAGGAAACAAATACATTATTTCAGCCTAAAAAAGACTCAGAAGATGGCTTGGAAAGCAAAATACATCTAACTTGTAACTTTAGGTTGCCAATTATTCAGGCTATGAATTAAACCAGGCCAATTTACCCCTCTCAGTTCTCCTGCTTTGGGGCCACTTCTTGAAATAACTTTTAGAATAGTAAAAGGAGGTAAAACATTCATGAATTTCAAAAATAATTAGCAGCTGGGAGAAAATAAAACTGTTGGGGGAAGAAGTTTAAATACATTCTAAGAAGTGACGGCTGCACTGATGATTTCATTGTCTAAGTAGTACGGCTTATATTTTTATGGAAATCTGAAAGCTCATTCTTGGTTTTAAAAACTGTATTCAAGAAAAGGAAGTAAACTGCTATGAAATTTATGCATAACAACTTTGGACAAGAACACTTCATTCTCTGCTTTGATTTTTTTAAAACCCTAAAGGGTACACTGATGACTTGTAATATGTGGTCACTGAAATCCTCTATTCACAGTCCTTTAACTGTTTTCTGTGGTGCAGTGAGAAACTACTGTATTAGACTTTGCAATATAAATTGGTTTCAACCTTGAGAGATTTATAAAAATAAGTTTGTCTCATTATCCTATAACACTAAAATGAGTGAAACGTGTCAGCTCTTCTACTTCTGCGAAACAGGAGAAATTGTATTTAACCATGTTAAACCCATCAAAGTTATACTTTCCAAATAAAAATGAGTGGTATAAGACATAAAAGCCATATAGAAAGATTTTACCATCATTTTCTGTTCCTTTATGTGATTCTCTATGAAAAGTAAAAATGAAAGCTAGTTTACATTTTATTTTTAACCCATTGGATTGTCTTCCATTTTATTTATTTATTTTTATCTTTTTATTTATTTATTTATTTACGTTTTTCAGATGGAGTTTCACTCTTGTCGCCCAGGCTGGAGTGCAATGGCACGATCTCAGCTCACTGCAACCTCTGCCTCCTGGGTTCAGGTGATTCTCCTGTCTCAGCCTCCCATGTAGGTAGGATCACAGGCGCTTACCACCACGCCCAGCTAATTTTTTGTATTTTTAGTAGAGATGGGGTTTCGCCATGTTGGCCAGGCTAGTCTCAAACTCCTGACCTCAGGTGATCCACCCACCTCAGCCTCCCAAAGTGCTGGGATTACAGGCATAAGCCACCCTGCCCGGCCTATCTTCCATTTTAGACCATAATATGATCTCACCAGATCCTTACTGAAAATGTACATTATTACAAGTAGCTAAATTTCCACATAGAGGAATAAAAAGGTTAGAGAATCAGGTTATGACTTTTCTAGTACTTTAGTGTGCTATGTTAATGATAAACCCGTTTTAAATTTCTTAATCTTATCATCAAGAAACACCAGGCTTCTAAATCTTTTTGTTTCATTTAAAATGGCTACTATATATGAGAATTTTTAAGGTATTATACTAAACCCTTTTTCAGGTCAAAAGGCATGTTATCTAGAAAATAATTTAACACTGTAATTGGATCCTCAAGATCAATTTGTTTTATATACTCTGCAGCAAAAATAACATTTCTAGTAGGAAGGAATTAATTATAAACCTAGGAAGTTCTAGACATTCACGTATTTGTGTAAACAATTTTAACATGGTTTATTACATTTCCAGAAAGGTTAAGTCTTATATTCCATTTTCTGCTAATTCTTATTTCATATATTATTTAATATAATAAATATATGTTATTTGGGTGCATATGTGCATATATTTTCACACATATATATGTCTTATATACATAAAACAGCACTTAATGGTCATGTTCTTTGCATGTTCAACTTCAGGGGAAAAAATGAATTGCTGTTATGTATAACCAATGGCGATCTTCCTTTCTGTTTCACAAATGGCCATATCTGGATGTAAACAAAACACTGGAGCGAGTCATTCCAGGTGAATTGTACTTCAAGTTGTAGGTTGGTGTTCTCAAGAAGAATTGGGTACTCCCTGGTAGTAAATACCTAAAAACGATAGTTAACAAATTAGATTTTTACAAGCAAATTATAACTAACTCACTAAAGGGTTATGTGGTTAGCAATTTACGTATTCTATATGAGAAATGTTACTGTAACAAAAATGCAATTCATATAAAAAGATTTCCTCCCCCAGACTGTAGGAAAGAAGGAGAGAAGAGCTAAATATAGATGCAATATATGACGTTAGCATCCCAAGACATCCCATAAAGAGCCATTGTACTCAAATACTGTGAAACTGTTTATGTGGCTAATGTTAATTTAGAATTCATCATCAGTCCTTGTAAGTAATATGTGGGGCCAAATATTTTTTGAAAACATGTGATTTGAGAATTTGACTAGCCACATTAACAATAATTGTTTGTTTTGAGGGAGGCAGAACCACTGATTGTAATTTAATAATAGATCATTGATGTATTATTACTATAGGTAACCTAATAGAAAACGTTAAAGATTAACATTCCTAATTAGAATATAAATTTTATATTCTTTGACCATAGAATGCTCATGATTACAGAATATCAAAAACAATCAACTGGACGCAGTGGCTCACACCTGTAATCCCAGCACTTTGGGAGGCTGAGACAGGCGGATCATCTGGGGTTGGGAGTTCAAGACGAGCCTGACCAACATAGAGAAACCCCATCTCTACTAAAAATACAAAATTAGCCAGGCATGGTGGCAGATGCCTGTAATCCCAGCTACTTGGGAGGCTGAGGCCAGGGAATCGCTTGAACCTGGGGGCCGAGGTTGCAGTGAGCTGAGATCATGCCATTGCACTCCAGCCTGGGGGACAACAGTGAGACTTCGTCTCCCAAAAAAAAAAAAAAAATCATGATTACAGGTTGCATGTAACCCTTGCAGCCAAATGTATTTCAAAATATGTGATTTTTTTCAGATTTTAGAAAGATAATATGGTGATTTATATATACTATATTATATAGTAATATTTATATTACTATATAACACCTCCATCAGAGCCTTAGAGCAGCATCTTGTAAACAAACCATTACATTTCTGTAGTAAAATGTATTAATATTCACAATAAATCAGATAAAGACTACAAATAACTTCATGTCAATTCAGGTCAGATTTGGCAGCAGAGGGGTTACTTTTTCTTTTTTTTGAGATGCAGTCTGGTTCTGTCACCCAGGCTGGAGTGCAACGGCGTGATCTCGGCTCACTGCAACTTCTGCCTCCGAGTTCACGCGATTCTCCTGCCTCAGCCTCCCAAGTAGCTGGGATTACAGGCATGTGCCACCACACCTGACTAATTTTTTTCTTTGTATTTTTAATAGAGATGGGTTTCACCATGTTAGCCAGGATGGTCTCAAATGAGTTATGTTTTGTTTTCGAGTTTTCAAAGTTTTGGAAATTAAATATTGCAAGTAAGAGATTGTGCACCTGTAGAATCTGTTTTCCTGTGAAAAATCTTGACTAGCATTAGGCCAGTCCAATCTATATGTCCAGAGAGAAATGGCCAAGGAAATCTATATAAACAAATGCAAACAACGCTATTCAAAATATAAGTCCTAGTAATGATGAGAAGGAAATGCTATAAAATCAGGATAAAGATACTTATGAGGAATGTCTAAGAGCAGAAGCAGCAATATACAGAGATTTGTAATTAGTCATGGGAAATAAACAGTGGGACGGTATCAAATCATTTATTTTCTTCACTTGACATCAGAATTCTCCAGGGATAGTATCATACTCCCACAGATACATGATAAACAGAGGACTGAGGGCACAATTAGCTGTCTATTCTATGTTAAATAATATTGATAACTATGATAATTCTATGTGAATGGAAAATTGTATTTATAGTTGTGTTAAATGAATTATGTAGAAAGAAATGTATTATAATCAAACTATATGCAGCATTCAGATTAAAATAGCAGAACTTTCTATAATATCCATAAACATCATTTTATCATGAATTACCTAATAATATCTTCTAAACCTATTACCTAATATCACAAACTATAAATAATTACTCAAATCATTAAGTTAATAGAGCAGTAAAATAACATAAAAGAAACCAAATTAAATCAAAATTGGATAACAGGTGATGAATAATAAAACAAATGATTTCTCACATCACAGATTATAAAAATTACTTTCTTACGATCACTCGGGTAATTTATATGGATTAATTACTATGTCAACAATTGGTGGGGTCATGATGACTGATTCAGTATCTTCTGCCATGAAAAGGCTATCCTTCCTATCTAGGGCAAAGTTGCAAAAGAAAACAAGGTGTTTGATCAAAATCCACTATTTCATAGTAGTTGAGAGTTATTCTACCTTCTACTGAAGATACATTCTGATTATACTGATAATTACACGGTAAACAGTAATGTCTACCAACTTTCTTTCAAAGAATTTCCAAGTAACAGTTACTATTGACATTTCAGTAACATTTACATATTCTTTTGAAATAAAGATCACTATTTTGCACATGAAAAAATAAAAGCACAAAGTCCAGGATCACAACTAACTTACACTCTTTTACTGAACAAATATTTAAATAGTGTTTTCTATGTGCCCAGCACTATTCTAATTGCTTTACAGATATCAACTCATTTAGTTCTCATAACAATTCTATATGGTAGATATTACTGTTAGCTCCATTTTACAGATAAATAAACTTCATGACGCATACAGGGGTCAAATGCCTTGCTCAGGGTCTCCTACCTAGAAAGTGGCAGGGCCAGGATTCAAATCCATACAGGCTAGCTCCAGCAGCAGAGCTCCTAGCAACCATACTATATTGTCATGACAATTCTACATAATTATCATTGTATACTAATTTCAGTTTTAAAACTAATGGGGACAATTATTATACTCATTTTTTCAGAAATGTGAAGTATAAAATAATTTAGAAAACAGAAAGATATTATATATGCCGCAAACCTAAACTTTTTCATAGAAGAAGAAAAAGATGAAACTTTTTATTCAGACTTGAAAAGAAGTTCGGCATGAACTAAAAACAGCATATAAAATTACATTGGAAGAAACACTTTTCTTCCCTAATGCAAGTGCTGTGGGATATTTTAAAGTGTTGCAGGGAAATACAATGGATTATTTGCCTTAATATCTCCATTAATATGTCTTGGGAAATCCAACACTAGCTGAACATCGAAGATTATTTTTGAAATGTTCCTTGCAATGAAGATAAATAATTTGATTTTTTTAAAGCAGAAGACTATCTCAAGGAAGTGGGTTTACGGATTAAAGAATTTGTGTAAGGCACTAAAAAATGGGAAAAGTTTAGAGCTTACCTATTTTTCTAGCTTATTATTTACATATGAAATGGCTAACTCATTGCTAATTCATGCCAAGGAGAAATACCTCAAACTACTCTATTTGTTTCATAGCCTCACTCCTCATCCTCCTCATCCCTAAGGCAGGTGTGCACATCTTTACATAACCATTATATTAAATGCAAACATAGAGCCCGCATTTATGTAATTCCTGATTGATGTAGAATTAGTTTATCTTTTATATACCAATTTATTGCTGACCGGGAGGATCTCTGGAACATGAAGCATATCAAGACTGGTAGAAATTAACCTTGAAAACATAAGCTACACCCACCTCCTTTTCCTCTTCCTGGAGTTAAGACCAGGACCCCTGATTTCCCCAGAATAATTTTAGGACCTGGTTTGGAAAATCAGGGGTAAATAAAGTCCATCAGAATATTTGTCCTGTCTTTTAAAAATATTTATATTATAGTGAAATATATAACATGAAATGTACTATTAAACAGTGTTTTTCTTACCATTTTTAATTGTATGATTTAGTGCATTAAGTACATTCACAATGTGTGTAACCATCACCATTAATTTCAGAACTTTTCATCACCTCAAACAGCAACTCCTTACCCTTGAAGTACTAACGCCCCATTTTCCCTTCCTTCCTACCCCTAGTAACATCTATTCTATTTTCTGTCTCTATGAGGTTGCGTATTATACATACCTCATATAAATGGAATCACAAGATTTGTCCATTTGTGTCTGGCTGTGTAACTTAGCATGTTTTCAAAGGTCATCTACATTGTAGCCTGTATCAGAATTTCAGTCCATACTGTGGCTGAATAATATTCTATTACATGTGTATACCATATTTTATCTCTTCAACTGTTGATGGGCACGGGTTGTTTTCATCTCTTGGCTATTGTCTTATAAATAATGCTTCTGTGAACATTAGTATACAGGTATCTATTTCTTTGTTTTTCATTCATTTGAGTAAATACCTCAGAGTAGAATTGCTGGGTCATATGGTAATTCTATATTTATTTGTTTTTAGAAACTCTCAAACTGCTTTCTACAACTGCCACACAGTTTTACATTTTTACCAGCAATGCATGAGAAATCCAAGTTCTCCACATCCACATCCTTGCCAACACTTATTACTTGGTACTTTTTTGATAATAGCAATTCTAGTGGATGTGCATTGTCCTGTGGTTTTAACTTCAAGATTTTTGGGGCTTACTTTTGCCACATTTAAATCCAATATGGATTTAGATAAACCTCACTTTTCTCAGCTGTACAAAATTCCAATAGTTTCTGCCATATATGGCTCACAGAGTACGGAGCCAATGAAATAGTGTACATGAATGAAATATTATTTATAATTTATATATTATGAACACTGGCCTCAAAAACAAGAATATCTCTGTTCTTAGATAGATATATCCAACTATCTTAACCTAAGGGCATAAATAATACCATATATTTAACTCGTCTTTTTTTAAACTTTTAAATTATAAAATATAAGGTATTTTAAAAAGTACATAAAACATAAATGTTCAGTTTAATGAGTATTATAAAGTGACTACTTGTCATTACCACCCATGTTAAGTAACTGAACATTCCTAGCATCCCAGAGCCCTGTATTATAGTACCCTCACTCCTCATAAACTTAACTACTATTCTGACCTTTATGGTAATTACTTCCTTGTTTACTACCCAATTATACATTCC